CACCACCAGCCTCACCATCACCACCATCACCACCACTCTCACCACCACCACCACCACCACCACCTTCACCACCACCACCACCATCACCACCATCACCAGCACCACCACCACCAACACCACTCTCACCATCACCACCACCATCACCAGCACCACCATCACCACTCTCACCTTCACCATCACCACCACCACCACCACCACCATCACCACCACCACCACTCTCACCTTCACCATCACCACCACCACCATCACCACCACCATCACCACCACCACCATCACCACTCTCACCACCACCATCACCACCACCATCACCAATCTCACCTTCACCACCACTCTCACCATCACCACCACCACCACTTTCACCACCACCACCACCATCACCACCACCATCACCACCACCACCACTACCACCACCACTCTCACCACCACCACCACTCTCACCACCATCACCACTCTCACCACCATCACCACCATCACCACCATCACCACCACCACCATCACCACCACCATCACCACTCTCACCACCATCACAACCACCACCACCACCATCACCACCACCACCACTCTCACCATCACCATCACCACCACCACCATCACCACCACCACCACTCTCACCACCATCATCACCATCACCACCACCACCACTCTCACCATCACCACCACCATCACCAGTCTCACCATCACCACCACCATCACCACCACCACCACCACCACCACCATCACCACCACCAGCACCACCACCACCATCACCACCACCAGCACCACCACCACCATCACCACCACCAGCACCACCACCACCACCACCATCACCACCACCACCACCACCAGCCTCACCTTCACCACCATCACCACCACTCTCACCACCACCACCACCACCACCACCTTCACCACCACCACCACCATCACCACCATCACCAGCACCACCACCACCAACACCACTCTCACCATCACCACCACCATCACCAGCACCACCATCACCACTCTCACCTTCACCATCACCACCACCACCACCACCATCACCACCACCACCACTCTCACCTTCACCATCACCACCACCACCATCACCACCACCATCACCACCACCACCATCACCACTCTCACCACCACCATCACCACCACCATCACCAATCTCACCTTCACCACCACTCTCACCATCACCACCACCACCACTTTCACCACCACCACCACCATCACCACCACCATCACCACCACCACCACTACCACCACCACTCTCACCACCACCACCACTCTCACCACCATCACCACTCTCACCACCATCACCACCATCACCACCATCACCACCACCACCATCACCACCACCACCACCACCACTCTCACCACCACCACCACCACTCTCACCACCACCACCACCATCACCACCACCACCATCACCAGTCTCACCTTCACCACCTGACTCCTCAAGATCTCGTCGAAGGCCCAGATGAAGACGCCTCCCACCAGCGCCATCAGGCAGCCCGTGACCAGGACCACCGTACAGCACCGGGAACTCTTCATCTGTCCGCGGGTTCCGGACGGCGCTTCGGAACCTTCGGAGACCAGTTCCACGTCACTCGTAACCTCCACGAACCTGAGATGGAGCGGGGACTTTGATCACCCTTGGAAGTTTTGGTCCATCAACACCTAGAGCCAAGTTCCACTTCACTCGCAAGTCTCCCAGGAGCCTGAGATCTAGCGGGGACTTTGATGACCCTTAGAACCTCTGGTTCATCAACACCTGGAGCCAAGTTCCACTTCACTCTCAAGCTCCCAGGAACCTGAGATGGAGGATGGACTTTGATGATCCTTAGAACCTCTGGTTCATAAACACCTGGAGCCAAGTTCCACTTCACTCGCAAGCTCCCAGGAACCTGAGATTGAGCGGGGACTTTGATCACCCTTAGAACCTTCGGTTCATCAACACCTGGAGCCAAGTTCCACGTCACTCGCAAGTCTCCCAGGAACCTGAGATGGAGCAGGGACTTTGATCACCCTTAGAACCTTCGGTTCATCAACACCTGGAACCAAGTTTTACGTCACTCTCAAGTTTTCCAGGAACCTGAGATCTAGCGGGGACTTTGATGACCCTTAGAACCTCTGGTTCATCAACACCTGGAGCCAAGTTCCACTTCACTCGCAAGTTTCCCAGGAGCCTGAGATAGAGCGGGGACTTTGATGACCCTTAGAACCTCTGGTTCATCAACACCTGGAACCAAGTTCCACTTCACTCGCAAGCTCCCAGGAACCTGAGATGGAGGACCGACTTTGATCACCCTTAGACCCTGTGGTTCATCAACACTTGGAACCAAGTTCGACTTCACTCGCAACCTCCAGGAACCTGAGATGGAGGACGGACTTTGATCACCCTTAGAACCTTTGGGTCATCAACACCTGGAGCCAAGTTCCACTTCACTCGCAAGCTTCAGGAACCTGAGATTGAGCAGGGACTTTGATGATCCTTAGAAATCTTGGGTCATCAACACCTGGAGCCAAGTTCCACGTCACTCGCAAGTTTTCCAGGAACCTGAGATCGAGCGGGGACTTTGATCACCCTTAGAACCTTCGGTTCATCAACACCTGGAGCCAAGTTCCACTTCACTCTTAAGCTCCCAGGAACCTGAGATCGAGCAGGGACTTTGATGACCCTTAGAACCTCTGGTTCATCAACACCTGGAGCCAAGTTCCACTTCACTCGCAAGTCTCCCAGGAGCCTGAGATTGAGCGGGGACTTTGATCACCCTTAGAACCTTTGGTTCATCAACACCTGGAGCCAAGTTCCACTTCACTCTCAAGCTCCCAGGAACCTGAGATCGAGCGGGGACCTTGATCACCCTTAGAACTTTTGGTTCATCAACACCTGGAGCCAAGTTCCACTTCACTCGCAAGCTCCACGAACCTGAGATGGAGGACGGACTTTGATCACCCTTAGAATCTTTGTGTCATCAACACCTGGAGCCAAGTTCCACTTCACTCGCAAGTTTCCAGGAGCCTGAGATGGAGGACGGACTTTGATTACCCTTAGAACCTGTGGTTCATCAACACCTGGAGCCAAGTTCCACTTCACTCGCAAGCTCCCAGGAGCCTGAGATCGAGCGGGGGACTTTGCTCACCCTTAGATCCTTCGGTTCCTCAACACCTGGAGCCAAGTTCCACTTCACTCGCAAGTCTCCCAGGAGCCTGAGATTGAGCAGGGACTTTGATGATCCTTAGAACCTGTGGTTCATCAACACCTGGAGCCAAGTTCCACTTCACTCGCAACCTCCAGGAACCTGAGATGGAGGACCGACTTTGATCACCCTTAGAACCTCTGGTTCATCAACACCTGGAGCCAAGTTCCACTTCACTCTCAAGTTTCCCAGGAACCTGAGATCTAGCGGGGACTTTGATCACCCTTAGAACCTTTGGGTCATCAACACCTGGAGCTAAGTTCCAGGAAGCTGAGATGGAGGACGGACTTTGATTACCCTTAGAACTTTTGGTTCATCAACACCTGGAGCCAAGTTCTACTTCACTCGCAAGTTTTCCAGGAGCCTGAGATTGAGCAGGGACTTTGATGATCCTTAGAACCTTCGGTTCATCAACACCTGGAGCCAAGTTCCACTTCACTCGCAAGTCTCCCAGGAGCCTGAGATCGAGCGGGGACTTTGATGATCCTTAGAACCTTCGGTTCATCAACACCTGGAGCCAAGTTCCACTTCACTCGCAAGTTTCCCAGGAACCTGAGATGGAGCGGGGACTTTGATCACCCTTAGAACTTTTGGTTCATCAACACCTGGAGTCAAGTTCCACTTCACTCGCAAGTTCCCAGGAACCTGAGATGGAGCGGGGACTTTGATCACCCTTAGAACTTTTGGTTCATCAACACCTGGTGCCAAGTTCCACTTCACTCTCAAGTTCCCAGGAACCTGAGATCGAGCGGGGACTTTGATCACCCTTAGAACCTTTGGTTCATCAACACCTGGAGCCAAGTTCCACTTCACTCGCAAGCTTCCAGGAAGCTGAGATGGAGGACGGACTTTGATTACCCTCAGAACCTTCGGTTCATCAACACCTGGAGCCAAGTTCCACTTCACTCTCAAGCTCCCAGGAACCTGAGATCGAGCGGGGACTTTGATCACCCTTAGAACCTCTGGTTCATCAAGACCTGGAGGCAAGTTCCACTTCACTCTCAAGCTCCCAGGAACCTGAGATCGAGCGGGGACTTTGATGTTCCTTAGAAATCTTGGTTCATCAACACCTGGAGCCAAGTTCCACTTCACTCGCAAGTTTCCAGGAACCTGAGATCGAGCAGGGACTTTGATGACCCTTAGAACCTCTGGTTCATCAACACCTGGAGCCAAGTTCCACTTCACTCGCAACCTCCAGGAACCTGAGATGGAGGACCGACTTTGATCACCCTTAGAACCTCTGGTTCATCAACACCTGGAGCCAAGTTCCACTTCACTCGCAAGTTTCCCAGGAGCCTGAGATTGAGCAGGGACTTTGATGATCCTTAGAACCTTCAGTTCATCAACACCTGGAGCCAAGTTCCACTTCACTCGCAAGTCTCCCAGGAGCCTGAGATCGAGCGGGGACTTTGATGATCCTTAGAACCTTCGGTTCATCAACACCTGGAGGCAAGTTCCACTTCACTCGCAAGTTTCCCAGGAACCTGAGATCGAGCGGGGACTTTGATGATCCTTAGAACCTTCGGTTCATCAACACCTGGAGCCAAGTTCCACTTCACTCGCAAGTTTCCCAGGAACCTGAGATGGAGCGGGGACTTTGATCACCCTTAGAACTTTTGGTTCATCAACACCTGGAGTCAAGTTCCACTTCACTCGCAAGTTCCCAGGAACCTGAGATGGAGCGGGGACTTTGATCACCCTTAGAACCTTTGGTTCATCAACACCTGGAGCCAAGTTCCACTTCACTCGCAAGCTTCCAGGAACCTGAGATGGAGGACGGACTTTGATTACCCTCAGAACCTTCGGTTCATCAACACCTGGAGCCAAGTTCCACTTCACTCTCAAGCTCCCAGGAACCTGAGATCGAGCGGGGACTTTGATCCCCCTTAGAACCTCTGGTTCATCAACACCTGGAGCCAAGTTCCACTTCACTCTCAAGCTCCCAGGAACCTGAGATCGAGCGGGGACTTTGATGACCCTTAGAACCTTTGGTTCATCAACACCTGGAGCCAAGTTCCACTTCACTCGCAAGTTCCCAGGAACCTGAGATCGAGCGGGGACTTTGATGTTCCTTAGAAATCTTGGTTCATCAACACCTGGAGCCAAGTTCCACTTCACTCGCAAGTTTACAGGAACCTGAGATCGAGCGGGGACTTTGATCACCCTTAGAACCTCTGGTTCATCAAGACCTGGAGCCAAGTTCCACGTCACTCGCAAGCTCCAGGAACCTGAGATGGAGGACCGACTTTGATCACCCTTAGAACCTTTAGTTCATCAACACCTGGAGCCAAGTTCCACTTCACTCTCAAGTTCCCAGGAACCTGAGATGGAGCGGGGACTTTGATCACCCTTAGAACCTTTGGTTCATCAACACCTGGAGCCAAGTTCCACTTCACTCGCAAGCTCCAGGAACCTGAGATGGAGGACGGACTTTGATGCTCCTTAGAACCTTCGGTTCCTCAACACCTGGAGCCAAGTTCCACTTCACTCGCAAGTATCCAGGAACCTGAGATGGAGGACGGACTTTGATCACCCTAAGAACCTTTGGGTCATCAACACCGAGCGTCAAGACCTGGAACCAAGTTCCACATCACTCACAACCTCCAGGAACCTGAGATGGAGGACGGACTTTGATGACCCTTAGAACCTTCGGTTCGTCAACACCTGGAGCCAAGTTCCACTTCACTCGCAAGCTCCTAGGAGCCTGAGATTGAGCAGGGACTTTGATGAGCCTTAGAACCTTTGGTTCATCAACACCTCGAGCCAAGTTCCACTTCACTCGCAAGTCTCCCAGGAACCTGAGATCGAGCGGAGGACTTTGATGACCCTTAGAACCTCTGGTTCATCAAGACCTGGAGCCAAGTTCCACTTCACTCGCAAGCTCCCAGGAACCTGAGATGGAGGACGGACTTTGATCACCCTTAGAACCTTTGGTTCATCAACACCTGGAGCCAAGTTCCACTTCACTCGCAAGTTTCCAGGAACCTGAGATCGAGCGGGGACTTTGATCACCCTTAGAACCTCTGGTTCATCAACACCTGGAGCCAAGTTTCACTTCACTCTCAAGCTCCCAGGAACCTGAGATGGAGGACGGACTTTGATTACCCTTAGAACCTGTGGTTCATCAACACCTGGAGCCAAGTTCCACTTCACTCGCAAGTCTCCCAGGAGCCTGAGATGGAGGACAAACTTTGATGACCCTTAGAACCTGTGGTTCATCAACACCTGGAGCCAAGTTCCATTTCACTCGCAAGTTTCCAGGATCCTGAGATGGAGGACGGACTTTGATCACCCTAAGAACCTTTGGTCCATCAGCACCTGGAGCCAAGTTCCACGTCACTCGCAAGTCTCCAGGAACCTGAGATGGAGGACCGACTTTGATGATCCTGAGAACCTTCGGTTCATCAACACCTGAAGCCAAGTT